ACATATACAAGGATTAGAGCAAGATTACCTTCTCCACACTGTTTGTACAAACATGGCTCGTTGTCACAGGCAACGAATCCCATATTCACCAAAACGCCATTCAGCTTCTCATTCCAGGCCCTACCTGACTGCTTCAAACCATATATTGCCTTCTTCAGCAGCAATACCTTATCATGATTCGTCTCATCTGAGTACCCTTCCGGCTGCTTCATATAGACCGTCTCACTCAGATCGCTGTTTAGATATGCGGTACACACATCCATTTGATGAAGATGTAGCTTGAGCTCCGCCGCAAGTGCTATAATAAAACGCACACTCTCCAATCGGCATACTGGCGAAAAAGTTTCTTGGTAATTAACACCAAACTGCTGGGAGCATCCCTTTGCTACCAATCAAGCCTTGAAACGTTCTATTTGGCCATCTTTATCACGCTTCACGCTGAACACCCACTTGCATCCAATTGCTCGCTGATTTTTGGGTAAGTCTGTGATCTGCCAAGTCTGGTTGGCAACCAGAGAATCATATTCTCTTGCCATTGCTTCCCGCCACTCCTTTGCATTTGTACTATCCATCGCCTCTTTGCAAGTTAACGGAATCGGAACGTTGTCCGCAACAAGGGCGCCTAGGATATTGTACTGCTTCTTAGGACGTCCAGGTTTCCGGTGCGGATGATCTTAGGGCGACCAGGGCCCTGTGTGCCTCCTCCACGACATGCTCAGCCTTTTCTTCAGCACTCTCGTACTGATCTGCGCTGTCATCGGAGCTGCCGGTGTCGATGGATATGTCCGAACCGATTTCTGCATTTTCGAATTCCTGCTGCTGGCGGACCTCCTCTTGTCCCTCCAGCTCGATCGTCACAGCATCACCCTTGGATGTCACGTCATGATTTTCGTCAAACAAAACATCCCGTTTTTCCACCAATTGTCGCGCTGCTTGGTCATATAGCCGATATCCTTTGGCTGCCACTGAGTACCCAACCATAATGTACTCTTTGCCCTTAGGTTGAAATTTGCTGCCCTTCCTCGGACCCTTGTCCAGAGCAACTGCAAGAGATCCAAAAACTTTTAGGTGTTTTACACAAGGTCTCTTACCCGTCCACGCTTCCATAGGAGTCATACTCTCTAATGCGCTGGTAGGCGAGCGGTTTCGCAGATAAACCGAAGTGTTGACAGCTTCTGCCCAAAAATTATCTTCCAGTCCTGCCTGGAACAGAAGGCATCTCGACATCTCCACTAGCGTACGATTTGCCCGTTCCGCAACTCCATTTTGTTGGGGAGTATACGCTATTGTTAGCTGTCTGTCAATTCCATGCTTCCTCAGACATTCGTCAAACTCTTTATTGACAAATTCTCCGCCATTATCGCTCCGCAGGCACTTAAGCTTTCTTCCTGTCTGTCGTTCCACAAGATTCTTGAACTCGATGAACTTGGATAGTACCTCGTTCTTCCCACGCAAGAAGTAAACAAAAATCCTCCTAGACTTATCGTCAATGAAAGTCAGAAAATACTTGGAACCTCCGAGAGACAGTGTTGGGAAAGGTCCACAAACATCTGGGTGTATCAGATCCAGAAGCTCCTTAGCCCGATTACTTGCTGCTGCTGGGAAAGGTTGGACATGGATTTTGCTAACCATACACGTTTTGCAATTAATACTCTCAGGCATCCGGATATTATCTATCCCTCGAACTATTCCTTTTGATACCATCTCTTTCATACTAGAGAAATTAATGTGACCATATCTCTTATGTAGCAAAATCCCATCAACAACTGACACGGCAAAACATTTACTTCGACCACCTTCAAACAAGTATAAGTCACCAATCTTTTTTGCTTTCACTATGCATTCTCCATCTTGCATCACCTTGGCATTCTCTATGTCAAAGGTCACCTTGCACCTGTTCTTTACAGCACTGCTCACGGAGTAAAAATTTCCGGTCATCTTTGGAACGTAAAGAACGTTTTTAAGTGTCAACATGCATAGGCCAGTCTGTATCTTGACGTCACCTATACCTTCTGCTTGAAGAAAACCAGCATCGGCTAGTCCGATCTGTTCAGTGTGCTTCTCAAACTTTGTGAATAGCTCTCTTTTGCAACACATATGACTTGTGGCGCCACTATCCAAACACCATGTAGAATTGTCAATGTTATTGACGTCACAGGCGTGCAACAAGCTGCTGTGGCGATTCACATTTCTTGGCGCCATGCGGTGATCTCCCTCACTCTCACTTCGACACTGGGACTTAATGTGCCCTTGTTCACCACACTTGAAACAAACAATATTTTTTCGTTTCTTCTGCCCATAGGTCTTCGTCTGTGAGTTGTGTTTCTGTGTTGCTACGAATGCCTTAGTATTGTCGACTCGTTCTTCTGCTATTCCTTTTCTCTCGCTCTCCTCCTTTAACTTTATGGTGAGCACTTCGAACGAAGGCAACTGATCTCGTGTCTCCATAGCGACCACGAAATGTTCAAATTGATCTGGAAGGCTCGATAGTAAAACTATAGTGCGTAGTTCGTCGTTTAGCTCTATTCCAACTCCAGTGAGACTATCCAGAATTTCCACGAATTCACTTATGTAGGTCGTCATGCTCTGCCCTTGCTCCATCCGTTTGTTAAGCAGTTTCTTGTATAACTGAACTTTTCGTACAGGCCCGCTTGGTTGATGAACCTCCTTCAACCTGGTCCATGCCTGCACAGCCGTCAAACAATTCTTGATGTAGGCCAATTGAGATGTCTTTACACTCAATGTTATTGTTGCCAACGCCTTACTGTCCAAGGTCTCAAAATCTTGTCCTTCTGGAACATTCGTTTCAGTTACTGCTCCAGACGTAACCGTCCACAACCCGGAATGCACCAATACAGATCGCATCTGTATTTTCCATGTGTCATAGTTCGTCTCCTCTAACTTATCAATTTGATAAAGAGCAGTCATTGTTCTTAATCTCGAGTCACACACCGCCTAACTTGAACTCTCCAGTGCCTGGGCCCATAACCTATTGAGCGAAAGAATTCTACCCGACAAATGAGAACACCGTGTGTACGCTGCGGAATTTTATTTGCGACTGAACAGAAGTTGAAAGAAGAAACAAAAATGAGTAGACATATTTTCTTATTCTCTATTCCATAGAGTAAGACAAATATATGTTCTTTATGGTCTCTTTCTTATACCTATACAAGCGAGCATTGTATTTTCTACAATATTTTTGTTCGTTTTATTTTTAACTTTTTTGTTACATTTGTATATAATTCCACTGTTTTCAATAAATTTCCGCTGTTTATCAGTGATGCCGATATTATCTAATTACAGGTCGATGTGGTTCGACCTTTTTTGTCATCAGCATTTCATTATACTGTTATCAACCTTTTTTAAGAGAGAAAATTTGATCGGGAGATAGTAGGTTTTGACCCTTTTGTCAAAAGAGAACGTCGGCTCGGTAAAAGTCGCAGTCGGCATCTTCTAGCCGCGTCGCCTTGCGAGTCCTTGCTTGTATTGGTCCGCGGCTTGCGACGGCGTTGATGTCTCGTTCTCCACTCCTAAGTTACGTCCGTACTCCTTTTCCACCGAAAACCGACTCCTCGATCGGTTCTGACTTCAACTTCAGACTTCCACGCTGATTGTTGATACTTTGAATTCTTATTGCCGCTTGGCGGAAACGAATACAAATTAATTATTAATTATTAATTATTAATTATTAATTATTATTATTAATTATTTTATTAATTATTAATTATTAATTATTAATTATTAATTATTAATTATTAATTATTAATTATTAATTATTATTATTAATTATTAATTATTAATTATTAATTATTAATTATTAATTATTAATTATTAATTATTAATTATTAATTATTAATTATTAATTATTATTATTAATTATTAATTATTAATTATTAATTATTAATTATTAATTATTAATTATTAATTATTAATTATTAATTATTAATTATTAATTATTAATTATTATTATTAATTATTAATTATTAATTATTAATTATTAATTATTAATTATTAATTATTAATTATTAATTATTAATTATTATTATTAATTATTAATTATTAATTATTAATTATTAATTATTAATTATTAATTATTAATTATTAATTATTAATTATTAATTATTAATTATTAATTATTAATTATTAATTATTAATTATTAATTATTAATTATTAATTATTAATTATTAATTATTAATTATTAATTATTAATTATTAATTATTAATTATTAATTATTAATTATTAATTATTAATTATTAATTATTAATTATTATTATTAATTATTAATTATTAATTATTAATTATTAATTATTAATTATTAATTATTAATTATTAATTATTAATTATTAATTATTAATTATTAATTATTAATTATTAATTATTAATTATTAATTATTAATTATTAATTATTAATTATTAATTATTAATTATTAATTATTAATTATTAATTATTAATTATTAATTATTAATTATTAATTATTAATTATTAATTATTAATTATTAATTATTATTATTAATTATTAATTATTAATTATTAATTATTAATTATTAATTATTATTAATTATTAATTATTAATTATTAATTATTAATTATTAATTATTAATTATTAATTATTAATTATTAATTATTAATTATTAATTATTAATTATTAATTATTAATTATTAATTATTAATTATTAATTATTAATTATTAATTATTAATTATTATTATTAATTATTAATTATTAATTATTAATTATTAATACACCGGACGAGCCTTTCTCATTACTTTGCTATGCATTTTATTTTCTACCACAGGACATACCCGACGTTGTGCGCCGCAGGAATTTCCACCAGCCCAGGATCCTATTTTTATGTTGTAACGGAAGCAACCCCTCCACGAGCATTTTTATTTAAAAAGAGGCTTACATAATTAATTATCATCAATAATTATGTTTTGGTTCTATTATTTTCATCGTATATATTTTTATTTATAATAACTTAAAACATTTCCTTCTTGGTTAGCTTATTGGCCTTATGGGAGGTAAATGGTTACCACAGCGCGGAAAATTGGGTGGTACAGGGGGCAGATCAGTAAGAGTACCGATTTGAAATACCAAGTTCATTCCTATAACAATATGGTATTGGAAATGACAATGAAATAACCAAAATCCTGGATTATCTGCTTTAAAGCGTATAACGGCATATCCATTATTTGGTACCGCAACAGTATCCTTAAGGGATGGTTGTAGGTACTGCCTTTTTAGCAAACCGCGTTGATCTAGTTCCAGAGCATGTTTTAAGTTCATACGCTCGATATTCACATCTGGTGATCGGCCAAGTCCTAGTACGTAAAAAGATGTACCGTGTAAATGAAATGGATGACTGATATTTATCTGTTGAACTTCATCGACCAGCACAACCTCAACAATTGCGTTAAGAGGTATATCGATTTTATGAGTACATTGGCAGTTTTCACCACAGTCTGCTGGTCTATTGTCCCCATTACAGTAATAGCTCGGTGGTATGTCATTATACTGTGAAAGCATTGGTGAAGGTGGCGATATGTATGATACCTCATCGATGAGTGATACGAGATGGTCAGCGTCCGAAGCGACTAGAAAATGGAGATGTGCAATAAAAATATCTTTATCTTAGTGTTTTCTTTTATTTATTTTCTGTTTATATTACATTTGTATTGTTTTAAGGTTTAACAATCACATACCAACACTAAATTTATCCTTGAGCGGCTGCACAAGTAATGGTCTTGTTATACCAATTTTAACTCATATGCACACATAAATAATAAATATGTTAAAATAAAGTTAAACTACTTAAAAAATAACAAATAACTCAAAGTGCTCTTTTTTAACATAGACCACAACAAATGTTGTGAATTTTTGTATAGTTAGTGTTTTAACATTCATCGTTTTATCTATATTGCTATTTATATAATAACTGTAAATAATGCATTCATTTAAATATTTTAATAGGAAAATACATAAAGATTTTTACATTTCTATATCCCGTGCTAGTACCAAGTAACAGGTGGTACATGATCACCACATGTCGGAAATCGGGGTGGAACTGCTGGCAGGTCAGATTGTGTGCCGATGTGGAAAATAAGATTCATTCCTATGACTATATGAAAAAGGAAGTGGCAATGAAAAAGCCAGTAACCGGGATTGTCTGCGCGAAACCGCATAACTACGTATCCATTGTTAGGTACAGCTATTGTGTCCTTAAGTGGCGGCTTAGAAAATCCCGCTCGAGCATACCCATTCGATCCAATTCCAAGGCATGCTTTAAATTGATTTTTTGTATTGACTTATCCGGTGATCGACCAAGTCCTACTACATAAAAAGCAGTTCCATGCAAATGAAATGGATGGCTAAGGTTCACTTGCTGTACTTCATCGACCAAAACCACTTCAACAATCGCTCCAAGCGGTATATCAACCATATGTGTACATTCACAGTTGGGTCCACAATTAAGCGGTCGATTGTCCCCATTGCAAAAAAATTCGGGTGGTATGTCATCAATTTGTGATAGAGGAGGAGCCGGTGGTGAAATGTATGATATTTCATCGACCAAAGATGTCAGATGATCTCCACTCGGCACAACTTTTAGTATTGTATAGGAAAATTTGTAACGATGCGATGTCGTATGGGAAAACCAAAAAAATCGTTTCAAGTTAATGCGATTGCGGCGGGTTCATAAATAAAAGTAAATTGTTAGTCACAATATTAATTAGTAATTTTACTTCCAATTTCAGTAAACATACCTAAAAATCGGTTGTATGTGTTTGGAATAAATAAAGCTTTTGGCTCATAGACATAAAATCTGAAAGGTAAAAAAATTTTCACATCAGGACGTTCTACTAACACGCCTTTGTCAATATTTTTTGCATTTCTTAAGTTAGATACGCAAATAGCATCAGGTCGTTTACGGTCACAAATGGCATCCAGAGGGTTGAGAATCTGTGAAAAAGGGAGTTTGTTAGAATGTGTTGAGATGGTTATTTTCAATTTTAATTTTGGAATATAATAAATAATGTGTTCTTATGTGTTATAATACTTCGAAATATCAAATTTTTTGTACATTTGTATTGTGTCTTTTAAAAAATTTTTTTTTTATTTTAAAGACTATGAATATGCATACAGAAAAATTAATATTTATATATACATATATATACACATTTAAATCTATGTGTATTATATATGTATGTATGTATATATAAATATTTTTAATTTTATTATTATTATATATTTTTTATACATATATTATTTACACTAATTTTTAAATGCATTGTTAAGAAGGTAACATGTAAGCAAGTATGATTTGAATATTTACATACATAAATCAAATTTACATAAATGAGAAAGCGTAAAGTGCAAAATATAAACATTTAATTGTTAATACAGATTTCGAGACTGTAAGGCAGGCAGACAATGAATACCCAACCTCCATGATCTTAATAACTTACTTATTAAATTACAAAAACATCGAAAAGTAGTTGATTAGTTTTTAATAAGTATTTTAAGGTTTGCCTTTGGGAGCATGGATTTTTTATGTTCATCATAAAATCATCTATTAATACATGATTTATATGAAATACAAATTATACTTTAAAATAATGTTTGCAACAGAGAAACACGTTTAGCTTTAATGAAAATATAGTATTTTTAATTTTATGTTTACCAAGCCCATATTTGACACAATACACTCGAAACTGGCGTATATAATATAAATGCACGTCTCAACTACCATTCGATAATTTTGTAACATACAATTTTGTAGAACATTTTTAATATTGTATGTGTTTTTAAATTATATATATATTTATATGCATGTAAATCAGCATACAACCATATTATCAAAACAAAAAAATTATATAATTTTACAGAATAGTCAAGTTCATCCATTTTATACATTGCAAATATTAGAAAAGTTCATAACTTTATGATTGGATTGTATTAAATTGTTTGTATAAAAATATGTATACATTCGATTGATATAAGTATTGAGGAAAGGGGAAAGAGGCTATTTGTATTGTTATTATTTATGTTTATTAATTTTCAATCAAAAGTTGGCAATATTGGCATTTTTAAATGGGCATATGTAGGTAGCTTTGTGCTATTTATACGATAATATATACAGTATTTGCACACTCTATGTGCTACATCAAGCTTTTTACAAACTAATTAATCAGTGTGTAGGTCTTGTTCTGTTTTTAAAAAATGTTTTGGATCATTTTAGCGTGGCGCAATCGGTGTTGTTATTTTACTGGTTTTACTTAATTTATTGGTATGGGTGGAGTATGGTCACCGCATGTCGGGAAACCTGGAGGTACAGGTGGCAGATCAGCGTTTGTGCCGACCTGTAAAATCAAATTCATTCCAATAACTATGTGGAATAGAAAATGACAATGGAACAGCCAAAAACCTAAGAAAGATTACATTTACGATTTTAGTACATTATACAAATGCAAAATCATCGACAAACATACCAGGATTGTCAGCTCTAAACCGTAGCACTACGTAACCATTGTTTGGAACTGCTATAGTATCCTTAGTCGGTGGCAAGTTATATTGGCGATGTAAGAGTCCCCGACGATCAAGGTCCAAAGCGTGCTTCAAATTAATTTTTTTAACGGACGAGTCCGGCGATCGACCTATGCCAATAACACTAAACCCATATCCGTGCAAATGGAATGGGTGCGACAAATTAGGTTGTTGTACTGCAAATATAAACATATATGCAAATATTATTCAAGTTATGCATAATTAAAATAATCTATCTATATATATAAAATGCTCTGTTCGTGTCTACATCCTTCATAGACTTAAAAAGTTCTAAACCGGTTAAGCCCAAATTTTTACACAACATGCGTTAAGGTTCCAGCTCGGCTATTGTCTACTTTTAATGTTGATAGCTTATCTGCATTTGCGAATATATCACTTTTTCCGCGTTTCCCCGTGCCCCTACTGCTGCGCCCTCTACAGGCAGCCAGCTGAATCAAAGCATTTCCTGTCAAACATTCAAAAAATTGAAATAAGGAATTGGAGAAAAAAATTGTATTTTTTTGTTCAGGTTCAGTAAGTAAGTAAGTAACGAGGAATCAGCAGAAAGACGAGCAGATAGGCTTGAGAGAAAACGATTGAGAGTTAGGCAGTCGCGTTCTGCAGCAATCGATTTGATTCACTCTCAAAATAATGAACGCGACAGGGCAAGGGTAGCTGAAGCGCGTTTACAGCTTGCAGAAGATCAAAACCTGCAATACAATCGTCTTGCACTCAGATATAATCCAACTATTGATTACAGCTCGAATCGAATGTCGTTATTGGACGAATGCATCAGGTCTGCATATACCGTCAGGTTCTCAAATTCAAAAACGAACCAAAAGGATTGTGTTGCGCTTCCGGGAAAGTGGAATTGCCTCAACTTGAAGCACCACCAGAGCCTCTGCACTCTCTATTCGCTGGATCTACTGCAGAATCGAAGCATTTCCTGTCGAACATTAGGAAATACAACTCTTGCTTTCAAATGACGTCATTTGGTGCGGAAATTATAACTGCACAATTCATGCCAACTTTTAAAATCAAAGGACAAATCTATCATAAAGCCGGTTCCCTGCTTCCGTTCCCAGACAGCGAACACAAATTTCTTCTTCTTGGTGATGATGGAAATGAAGTAGATGCACGTTATGGAATCAATACCTAAATACGCTGAAGAGGCACATTATTTCGCAGCTACAGAAGCTTTTTCACGAACGGAACAATTTGGTGCGTTTATTCAAAACAGCAATCGATATGATGCCTTCGGATAACCATAAAATTGTCATTCATGCAGACAAAACGCCTGCTGGAGAACATATCAGGAGATATAATGCTCCAACTATAGACGAAGTGGCAATTGTCATAGTCGGGGATCAGTTTCAACCTCGAGATATTGTTCTCCATCGACGAAAAGATCGATTGGTAAACGTCGTAGAAACTCACCGTTGTTACGATGCTTTGCAGTATCCACTAATCTTCTGGGATGGTGCCGATGGATACCATTTCAATGTGAAGATGGTAGATCCAGTCAATAGTGTAGAAACGAATAAAAAGTGCAGCGCGATGAACTTTTACTCTACAGGTTAATGGTTCGGAGGACCGATTGCAATCATATATTGAAATGTCGTCAGTTGTTTCATCAGTACATTGTCGATATGTATGCAAAAATTGAAACAGAACGTTTGCTGTTCCTCCGATCAGACGAAACTTCGGTCCGATGAATATATACATTTGCGGGATGCTGTGATGAATGACCGTAATACAACCAACGTTGGAAAGCTCACGATTTTGCCATCCTCATACATAGGTAGTCCACGCCACATGCAGGAATATGCTCAAGATGCCATGGCATATGTTCGTTGCCACGGCCGTTCAGACTTATTTATCACCTTCACATGCAATCCAGCTTGGGACGAGTTAGTACAGCTGTTATTTCCTGGACAATCGTATAGGGATAGGCATGACATCACAGCCCGTGTTTTCAGACAAAAGCTCAAGTCACTGATGGATTTCATTGTGAAACATGGAGTTTTTGGATCTGTGCGGTGCTGGATGTATTCAGTAGAATGGCAGAAGAGAGGATTGCCGCATGCGCACATACTGATTTGGCTGTATGATAAAATTACTCCAGACAAAATCGACGATGTTATATGCGCTGAGATTCCACGGGCCGAGGTTGATACGGTTTTTCATGAAGTTGTCATCAAGAACATGATCCATGGCCCATGTGGTACCCTCAACCCATGTTCACCATGCATGGTAGACGGGAAGTGTTCCAAGCGATATCGTCGAGCATTTACAGCCAACACCGTAACAGGGGGCGATGGATATCCTCTGTATAGGAGACGGTCAACTGAAGATGGAGGGACTTCGGCAAATTTAAACATGAGAATTGGTGATATTGAGGTAGACAATCGTTGGGTGGTTCCATACTCACCACTATTGTCAAAATCATACAAAGCGCACATCAACGTAGAATATTGCAATTCCGTGAAATCGACTAAATATAACTGCAAGTACGTGAATAAAGGCAGCGATATGGCAGTTTTTGGTGTTAAGGCAGAAAATGGTGACAGCAATGCAGTACGAGTTGTCGATGAAATCTCTCAATACCAGGCTGGCAGATACATAAGCAGCAACGAGGCTGCATGGCGAATTTTTTCGTTCCCAATTCATGACGGCTACTCAGCTGTAGTTCACTTGGCAGTCAATTTGGAGAATGGTCAACGTGTCTATTTCACAGAAATAAATGTGCAAGAAAGAGTCCTGAATCCGCCTACGACAACTCTGACTGTCTTCTTCACCTTATGCCAGGAAGATGCTTTTGCCATAACCTTGATGTATTCAGAAGTGCCCTCTTAACCACAATATGCCACAGAGAAACGTGGCAGGGTACAGCTAGTATATATATATAAAAATGCTCTGTTTGTGTCTACTTCCTTCATAGACTTGAAAAGTTCTGAACCGTTTAAGCCCAAATTTTTACACAACGTGCGTTGAGGTTCCAGCTCGGTTATTGTCTACTTTTGGTGTTGATAGCTTATCTGCGTTTGCGAATATATCAGTTTTTTTTCGCGTTTCCCAGTGCGCCTACTGCTGCGCCCTCAAAACATATTGAAAGAAGAAATTGGAGATTACAATTTTATTTTTTTGTTCAGGTTCAGTAAGAAACGAAGTCATGCCACCCAAGAAGTCGAGTTTGGGTCGTCGTACTCGCAATACAGAAGCAAAAAGACGTAAGATTACGAATATGACGGGCCTCCATCCGAGAGACTGAGCGGCTGAGAGCAATGCAGATGCACAACGCGGAATCAGCAGAAAGACGAGCAGATAGGCTTGAGAGAAAGGCAATCGCGTTCTGCAGCATTCGATTTGATTCACTCTCAAAATAATGAACGCGACAGGGCAAGGGTAGCTGAAGCTTGGATGCTCCAGGAGGAACGAGGAAAACATTCCTCTTTACATTGATTCTGGCTACGGTTCGAGCTAACAAGGACATAGCTTTAGCTCTTGCTTCATCTGGAATCGCTGCGACATTGTTACCTGGTGGGAGGACTGCTCATTCAGCGCTGAAGTTGCCGTTGAACATGCAAATCATCGAGACTCCTACGTGCAACATTTCCAGAGCATCTGGGAAAAGTATTGCAAAGAAGTAAACTCATTGTTTGGGATAAATGCACAATGGCACACAAAAAAATCGCTGGAGGCTCTCGATCGATCATTGCGGGATTTGCATGGAGCTGTCCAACCATTTATGAATGCGTTAATATTGCTCGCAGGGGATTTCAGGCAAACGTTGCCTGTGATTTCCCGATCGACACCAGCTGACGAGATAAATGCTTGCCTAAAATATTCTATATTGTGGCAACATGTACGTACATTACAGTTGAAGACGAATATGCGTGTCCAGTTACAGAACGATGACTCAGCCGACGTATTCTCACGACAGCTACTGGACATTGGGAACGGAAAGCTGCCAGTCAATGAGACGTCGAGAAAAATAGTATTGCCCGAGAATTTCTGTAATTTAGTTACATCGAAGGAAGAACTTATCCAAAAATTGTTCCCCGATATCCGAATAAATTATAGGAATCACGATTGGCTCAGTGGACGAGCGATTCTCGCTGCCAAGAACAAAGATACCAGCTCAATCATGTAATCCAGTCCAGCATAGAAACTGACGAAATTACATATAAGTCGATAGACCCCGTTGTGGAGGCGGAGGAAGCAGTTAATTACCCTACGGAATTTCTAAACTCACTTGATCTGCGTGGAATGCCACCACACATATTGAATTTTAAAATAGGTGCGCCGATTATCATGCTCCGGAATATAAATCAGCCGAAACTCTGCAACGGTACGCGACTCGCTGTCAAGAAATTGATGAACAACGTAGTAGAAGCAACGATCATAACAGGTCCTTTCAAAATCCTCATTCCTAGGATTCCTCTGATCCCGACTGATACACCGTTCCAGTTCAAAAGATTGCAGATTTCCATTCGTTTAGCGTTCGCAATGACCATTAATAAAATTCAAGGTCAATCTCAGGAGTTGTGTGGTCTAGATTTGGATGCAGATTGTTTTTCACACGGATAATTATATGTTGCGTGTTCCCGTGTCGGAAAACCAGATAGTCTTTATATTTACGCGGAGAATGGAGAAACAAAGAATATTGCATACCCTCAAGTATTACAGAATTAAATGAATTTGAAAATAATTCTTTTTTGTTTGACTTATTTCTTATGCTTGCAACCACAATATGCCATAGAGAAACGTGGCAGGGTACAGCTAGTTATATAAATATATATTAAATATTATGGAACTTTCGACAACGGTTATATTCGGCAACACTAAACGTAAGCTATACAGTATTGTCGATACATTTAAAATATGACCGTAATTAATAATCCTCGTAATTAATAATGCTCGAATCAAACCTACAGGAGTTCGAATCTTATTTCGTGCAGTAGAAATAGAATAATTTAAAGTGCTTCTATGATCCCCTCAAAAAATGTTTTTTCCCAGATCACAGAATGCCTTCTATACCAAAATCAAGACAAGACCCCCACCTTGCTTAACAGTAGCTTGGCATGTGCTTGTTTTTTATCTCGGTATGTGGTTGTTATAAGATTCTATAAGATCCTATGCTTTTTTTTACGATGCTCCAGTTTTTGTTTTCTTG